TAACAGCAGTCCATGCTTAAAGACTTTTTGCAGTATAAGAACAGAAGCAGGGGATGCCATGGAAAAGTGGAAAAACATGAGGAAGCCCTGAGACAGTACCGATGACTAGTATGTTTAGCAGTTGCCACTCCAGGAGGAGGCTGCTTGGCACCTTGGCAAGCTGGGCTACACAGTTTATAGTCCAAATAAGTGCAATTCTCAGAGTAAGTGATAATGAAGAAGCGTATGGTCAGCTATCACTCTACTTTTAAGTCTTTGACCTGGAAGTCAGTAGGATTTAGTGACGGTGGTTGGTTTCCTCTCTTTAACGCTTCTCTGTGGAATGCTGGAAATGCTTGGGATACCCGATCAGCATCAAAACCACAAAGCCACAGAATCCTAAAATAAGTTAGGTTAGAAGGGCCTCTGGAGGAAGGACCTCTCTGGTTCAACTCCCAGAGATCTAGGAGTTTCTAAATCATCTGAAAYAAGCAACCATTTTCAAAAATAACTGATGTATCTGTCCTGTTAGAAGTCAAAAGACTTGAAATCTTAAAGTATTTATGCATTTTTGAAAATACCCTCTCTGACCAATATGGAATAAGCATTCTGTACCAATTTGCCATCCTGTCTGACAGTTTTCCATTATTTTCATTTGTTCATTCTTACTTGATAGGAAGACATTTGTTTAATGTGTGTGTGAACACATCTGCAAATGATGCAAAGTGCAGGGGAGCAGCAAAGAGCATTCTTTGCCCCTGACAGGTTCAGCAGTAACCCTGAATCAAGAATTATTTTGATAGGCCATAGACAGTTATATATACATTTTTAAAAGGTTCTCATGAACTTTATTCTGTTTTTCTTTTTTTTTTTTTTATTCTAGTTTATTTTTTTCTTTCTTCAATACCTTTGCTTCATACAGTTTGCTTTCTTGTTTTAAATACATTTAATTACATGCTTCAAAGTGTTACAGAGCATTACATTTTGCAATAATATTTTGATGAGATGGACACCATCATACTCTGGGTCTTTCAGATATTTTGTTTTGTATGATTTTTTTTGCATACTGGTTAATTAGAAGCTGTAACCAAGATAAGGTCAGTGGCTCATTTCACTGGGAGTCAGCACACATGACGGAATAACAAATCAGGCGGACAAAGGCAAAAATGTAGAAGCATAAGATCTGTCCAACATTGATTCTTTCTGGCAAATATGAAAAATAACACTAAAATAGTAGGCAAGCAACAAAAATATCTTGCAGAATCCAAAGTGATCAAATTCGACTTGAATTCTCAAAAATAAAATTAGTGCTAGCTGAAAATTGTTTAGGTGCAAAAGGGCAAATTCCAGCTTCATGCACTCGGTACACCACTGACAATATATAAAAAATAAAGAAAAGACTTCAGAAACCCAAACTAGGAAACTTTATTGCTGCTTGTAGCATGTCTAGCAGCCCCCTTAACTGTCTGACGAGATCCATTAAGAGATCAGGTTTTCTGTTAWTTATAATTTTGTCAAAATATTTGAGCTAAAATTTTCTTTGCTGGAGGTGGAATATTTAAAAAATGCTCCTGGTAAAAATAGTCTATCTATTTTCAGGAATGAAACTAAAAGAAAAGATGATGTCTTCCCCTGTTATTCTTGAGATTTGCTGTGATTGAAGAAGCTGTGTGCTTTTTGCAGGGAAGCAGGGCTGCTCTGAATGTGGGAGAGGGCAGCTTCTTTCGAAGTTGTGCCATTTGCCACCCGAAAATTCATTCCTACTTGGTAAACTTGCCAGACTTTGGAAAACCTCTCTTTGCCCCTGCTTTGCAGAGTTTGGGGCCTCTCTGAAGGTGCCCCAACACCAGGTGCCAGGAACAAAAGTGCGCTCTGGAGCCACCTGCGCAGGGATGGTGCACGTGCCTCCCAGAGGTCTTCTGCGTCCTCAGGCTCCAGCACCTGTGTCCAAGGAGTCTCTCTCTTCTTGGCAGCTTTATTGATGGTTCTCTTATCCTGGGCTCTGTTAGCAAGAGTGCAGCCAGCTGGTTGAAGGAAGCAATCATTGCCCACCGCATGTGCAGTGCTTGCGAGGCCACATCTGGCATACTGCTGTGCAGCGTTGGGTCTGCAAGTACGAGACATCAGCAACCTGCACACAGTCCCACAGGGGATCAATGAAGGGGCTGGGAAATGGAGCCCTTGGCCTATGAGGAGGGGCTGATGGAGCTGGTTTCGCTCGACCTGGAGAGGAGGCCCAGGGGACTAATGTCTGCATCTACCTGAAAGGAGGTTGTACGAAAGGCAGAGCCAGACTCCTCGAAAGGGCACAGAGAAAGCGCAAGAGGCAACTGCCATGATTTGCAATAAGGGAAATATGTATTAGACATAAGGAAGAAAACTCTCCCTAGAAGTGGTTTGGCTCTGACACAGATGCCTAGAGGGACTGGGCAATCCCCGTTCTTGGAGATATTCAGGACTCACRACCCTGAGCAGCCTAATCTAGCTTTGTCATTAGTTCAGGACGCTGAGTACATCCTATTCCCTTCTGGGGTTTGGGCTGTGTGAATGTGGGGCCAAGTTAGGGGCAGTGCAGCTGAGAGCTGCCCTTACCTCTAGTGGCTTCGGAAGAGCTTCCAGAAAGCTCTSCTCGGAGGCCTCATCCAGGGCTGACCTCTCTTGTCAGGCATATAAGCTTGGTCTCTTGATCTTAGTTCCCTCTAGCTACACTAAAGCTGCATTACAACTCTGCCTATACCTGGATTGTGTCAGATTGACCCAAACCCTGATCCAAACCCATGGACAGACTTCTTGGCTTGACCAGAGGCCTGCCTTTCACCATGGACTTGTCTGATGATCACTAGAAACTGACTTACCCTGAGTACTGTCTCAGACTCAAKCCTGATAGTGACGTGCTGACTTGACTAAGTCTGAACTTGGACCTGCCTTGTCACCATGGGCTTGCTGACTGTCTATATTCTTAGTTGGACTTGGCTATTGTCTCTATGTCTGTTCTGCTGAACTTGCTCAGGTACTTTGGGACAGGGCCTTCCTGGTAAGGCTGCTTCCTGTGACTGCCCTGGTGTCATATTCAGCGCCCAGCTCCCTTTCCTTTACAGAGCAGTCAGTCCTTGCTGCTCCCTGGCAGTCTGCTGTGAGKGGCTGCAGAGGTCCCCTCCCAGCTAAATACCTATGTGAATTTATGAAGAATCTGAGGATGGCAGACAGAACCAGAGGAAAAGGGACAAGGAAAAAGATCTAAGGAGGAAGAAGGCGGAGGCAGCTGCAGAAATGGTCAGCAGCGCATCTACTGTAACATGGTTCCTTTATGTCATAGGTTCCAGAACAGAAGAGTAATATCATGCCCCTCCAAAAGGTATGCACTCAGATTTGTTTCCTTGTCAGACGCATAATTGCACAAGTGATTCATGTTTATGTCACAGTCTTGAATTTTTGAAGCAGAAACACCTACTCTCCCTCAAACCTTCCTCCATCTCTCTCGCTGTATATCTCAGACACCATTAAATGTCTTTCATCAGCATGCTTAATTGAAAATTAGTTTTTTAGTGCTGTATTTGCTGAGCAAGAGGGTTGTAGCTGGCATCCTTAGATGGAGAGGTTCGCCATATAGCCACTTATGTGTATAGTGACCTGTAGGTGATACCAAGACTGTTCTTCAAGGGAGTCTAGATTCATGATTTGAATCCTTGCATTCAAATCCTTGCATGATTTGAATCCTTGCATAAACTATATTATAGCACAAAAGTATCATGCATTGCCATTGCTTTTTTTTTTTTTTTTTTTTCCCTGCAGCAGTCACAGGATGAGGGCTTGAAATGTCATTCTTCACTAATTTAGAAGTCTAGAATCTTTTACTTTACCCTGCATAGTACTTTTCATTTCTAGACACTAACTTTTTTTTTTTTTACTTAATCATATTTATTGTTATGCATCCTCTCCAGGATAAGCTGGTATTGTTTTTCTGAGTCCTGATGAAGCCAATTAGAGGTTCTGTTGTAGTGCTGGTGGAAAGATGAACCCTGGACATTGGCGGGAGGGGATATCCATAGTTTCTGGCATTGCCTGTGTAAAGCTGGGTCTCTCACTTCTGGGGAGATTTACAGGACTTCAGTCTACAGTGCAGGCTGAGAAGAATGTACAAACAGTGCAAGCAAATATATTTCACCAGAGCTTCATTCTGTGACATTTCTCTTTGAGAATGAAAATCACCCAGACCTCGATATCAATCACCTAGTAGCTAAGTGACAAGGAAAAGTGCAAAGCATCGATGTCTGTGTAATCTTCAGAAGTGGCGTTATTTGTTATCCCTCTGCATTGGTGGCCATATGAATGTTGGGCGTATTTTAAAGAATGCTAGTGTTTCCCAAGCTCTTTTGCCTTAGGTAAATATATACTCCACTGTGCTGAATGTGTGTGTGTACATGTAGTTGCACAAATATATTTGATATACTGCCCAAACACTTCTTTGCTAAGGTGTGTGACTTACTATACATTTAGGAACATATTGACTTAATTGGGTGCCCAACACCCAACACTGGACTTAGAACACAAACTGTGGCACACAGTTTAAAACAAACAAAACAAAACAAAACAAAAATCTCCAAAGTTTTCCTCAACCTTTACTACTCAATCAGCTCTGTGAGCAATGAGTGCTGTGTCTGTGTTCTAATTATTCCAACTGTGTTTTAACTTCTAGTTATAGGTGCAGCAAGGAGGTGCACAGGCAGGATAGACTTTCTATAGGAATCCATGCTGACAAGAACTAGGCACTATAGGCTTGTTTCAAGCACTTGTTTCCCACGGTATGTTTCCTGTACCAGAAGATTTTGGTGGGACCATGTTACCAGCATGTTTATTCAACCCTTCATTCTTTTCTCTTTGTCTCGCCAAGTTCCCCCCACATATAGCYTGCTGTGCTTCCTCCCTCAGACAGTTTGCTAATTTACCCTGACCTGTTTCCCACCATCTAGCTTTAACTATTGAACAGGCCACTCTGCAGCTCAGCAATGACAYGACCTTTCTGTAGTTAGATTTCTGAGTCCTCAATAGGGGCATTTAGGAGTATYTTAGTAGGAAGTGCTGGCAAAGATTCTTTAGGATGGGTAAAATTGTTAGAGGGGAACTGTTTCACTTTTGAGGAAGCATGGATTTGGTGASACTTATTTTCCACAGTCTGATTTTTCAGCATCCCTGTATCTGAGTCCCAGGCTTGTCCCCGCTGCAGTTTCTTAAAGGTATTTCGGAAACCCTCAGTGCTAAAGTAGTAGATCAAGGGGTCCAGCGTGCAGTTCATGCTGGCCAACAACATTGTCAAAATTAGCACTTGGCGCACAGCAGCTTGTGTTTGTTTCTCAACCTTCAGTATGTGGGCTTTTATCATCCCGTAAACTGCCAGGGTAGTGTTGTAGGGCACAAAGCARATGATGAAGATGACCAGATTGACCAAGAGAAGACGAATGGTCTTCTGCTGTCGTAGCGTCCTAGTCTGGTTGTTCTGGCAGAGCTCCCAGAAGATCCGTATTGAGCAGTACAGCACAGAGCTCAGAGGCAGGAGAAAACCCAGGATTTCAGCCAGGATAACTAAAGGGAAGAGGTTTTTTTGCCACATGTTGTCACTGAAGCTTTCAAAGCACAGATGAATTGTCTGGTTCTGTGTCATACAGTGGTTTTGCTTGTGGACCATGGCTGTGGGGATGGAGCCCATGAGGATCATAATCCAGACAATGAGGCAGAGGACCTTGGCCACTTTGGGGCGCCGCAGATGCCGCCAGCGAAGTGGGTGGACAATGGCAACATAGCGGTCCAGATTGATACACATGAGGAAGAGGCAGCTACCATACATGTTGATTTGGAAGACAGATCCAGAGACCTGGCACAGAAAGTTGTCAAAGGGCCAGTGGTGGTTGGAGTAGTAGTAGAGTCGCAGTGGCAGAGGAAGGGTGAAGATGAGGTCACTCATGGCCAAGTTGAACATGTAGATCATCACCACAGACTTCAGGCGCAGGTAGCGCATGAAGATCCAGAGGGCCATCACATTGAGCATCAAACCTGTCATGAAGATGAGGATGTAGCCYGGCAGAAGCAGATGGTGGCTGAAACGGTAATCCTTGCATGTCTGAGACACATTGGCAGCAGACATACTCAGCAGGGAACAGGAGAGGGACTCAGCGAGATGGCTGATATTACTAGCAGGATAAGGAGGCACAAAAAAAAGAACTGAGAGAAGTCATTCCCCTCTAGCAAGCTAAGAGCAAGTCARTCCTTCATCCACAGCTGAGAAATAGATGGGCTTCTCTGTCTCTTGGCTGCGGCTGCCTTGACTTGCTGGTCAGTGGATGGCAAAGTGGTCAGTTCTAGCTCAGCAATAATTTCCAGTGGTTATGCGGATGCTGTCATGATGGAAGGTCATTGCTGAATGTTGAAAGTCAGCACAATTCCTGGATAGAGTAGAAGACAGAGAACAATAGTTTAATTTAAAGGGGTGAATTTCTCGAAAGGTCAAAATTCCACTGTGGTGGTTTTTTGCTGCAAGAACACATGAAGAAAGAAAAGAGACAAAGCAGAATATTAAGTAGAAAAGTGAGTGATGCAATGGAAGAAGAAGTTGGAATACAGAGGATTTAACTGCTGTGAGGAATCATTTACTATTCAGTCCCAGAGAAATTATTTTCTCTTTATTTTTCATCATTAGTGTGATACAGATTTATAAGAAATCCACAGCACAAGTACACACAGAGAAAATAGCCAAGGCAGCTCCAGAAAAAAAGAGAGAGAGACAGAAAGAAAGGAGAATAAGAGAGTAAGCACTTGGAGGGGAATATGCTGACTGGAAGGAAACTTAGAACAGAACACAAACTGTGATACTGTTTTATATCAGAGAAACAGGACTTTGTACAGATGTACAGACATTGTAGATAAAAGGAATTACAGTACAGGTAGGCTTGACTCCACCCTAGTTTCTCTTCTTAGGTGAAAYGATCCACAGAAACCTGAGTCCTAGCTAAGGGCTTGACCAGAATGGATAAACCTCGGTGGACAGAGGCACCTTACCCACGTTTCATGAGACAAGAGTTCRGAAGGGAACAGAGGAGCAGATGCATCTCAGTTCCTTCCTCGGGATTTGCAATAGAATAACAGAGCTGATGTGATGGCAGAAATGGCTGTATTGCAATTTAATTAAGAAATTCCAGCTAAGCACAAGTAAACAGAGAAGATTTATGTTACAGCAAGTGTARTTTGCTAAGTTGCTCCCTTTTACACAATTACTTCTTTAGCTCTTTTGGTGTGTTCTTTTTTTTCACCAGATCAGTGTATGGTCTATAGGAGTGTGCGTCCTTAGATCATTTTCCTGCTTATCACACCATAAAACATAAGGTAGCCCACATCCCACCTTGTTTGTTTACCAACACAGAGCAGAACAGCCAGATAAGACCCTTACACACAGTAACCATGGAAAGGCCATGGGATTCATGTGGGAGGAACCTACCTGGGTCTCCTAGGTAGAGYGAGTATTCAGACTATTCCATATACTAATGGTAGCATTGCCTTGCTAAATGCTGATCAGCTGGAGTGGGACCAGTGGAAGGCCACCAGAACGGTCAGGGCATTAGAGATCCCTTCTGATGTGAGTTATGCCATGAACCTGTCACAGAGGGCTAAGCATTAGTAAGCATCTTTGTAGCGGTTAGATAGCAACTCCCTGATGTAGCTCATGTAGGGTGTGATTTACCTCAAAAGGGAAGTAAATCTTTTTTTTTTTTCTGTCTGGAGGAATTTTTTTATATTAMGTAAGGAGCTTAATAATAATAATAAGGAGCTTATTGTAAAAGGATGACACTCAAGAACCTACACGCTCTGTGAAAGCCTAAAGGAATAAATAATAATAAAAAGAAAGCACAGCACATGTTCTTTAGAAATAAGAAAAAAAAAAATCAGGCATGGCTTGATAGACATGCAAGACCTGCATGATATTGTGRTGCAATGCACAGTCTTAGAGAGAGGATCTATTAAAGGTAGCTAGCACATGCTGATCTTTTATTTTGATGAGTACATGTTAGATAATAAAAGTAGAGTTCTAATATGAGAGAGCAGGAATAAAAAGAAGACAACTATCTATTTTCCCATCCTTTTTTTTTTTGTTGTTGTTGTTGTTGTTGCTGGGCAGGTCTGTCACCATGCCAGATTTCTTAGAGAAACTTTTACTGTTCTGTCAAACTACATCTGAGCGGCTCCTGTTCATTTTGGAAGCTGGTGGAAAACTTTGTGTGAACACTTCCTTAAGTGTGAGATAACACAGGAAGACAAGGCAAATATACAAGAAGATTATTGTTTTTAAGTGAAATGATTAGCTGCCTCAGAAAATATTGAGGAAGACATGCCAGACTKTGTTACTGCTAAAACCCTGAAATAACTCTCTACTGATCAGACTGGAGGGCACTTTTGCCTTCATTGAAGCATTGAGGACCTAGTGACAGAACCGCTGTAACTTACCTGATATCTTGCTCTAACACATGTGCCCAGATCAGCTGGGTGAAGGTGCCTTCACTCCATATACAAGCTATTTTTATTCAGAGGTATTTATTAGAGAACACAAGTATGTAGGAATGGCCCATAGTGAGTCAAATCAGTGGTCTATATTGCTGGAAAAGTGGTCAGTAAGGGATGATGAAGAGACAATATAAGGACAGTGCAATTATGTAGTGACATCCCTGCAAATTCTACTTCCAAGAAATCGTAGTCCAGCCAGGGATTTCTTGAACCCGAGGTGACATAATTAATCCAGAAACTCCTGTTATGGAAAGAAGTCCAAGAAATCTGTTGTGTTTTATCTCCATCATCACTTTTTTTTTTTTTTTTTTTTCCCTGAATGTTCTTGTCCTCTTAAGCCACTGAAGCACCAAATATCAGAGTTCTAAATTTGAAGGAAAAATCATCACCATAAACTCTAGTGTTATTAAAGTGATGGCGGAAACTTTGAAATAAGAGATACTATAATCAAGATAACTGAGACTCAGTATGGGATGCTTACATGCACCCTCTTTGGGAGGAGAAGTTGTAGGATAGTTGTAGCTATTCTCTACAGGGCTCTGGGGGAACTGCTCCCCATTGGAGAAGAAAGCTCTTGATGAAGCAGGGAGACAGAGTGTAGAAGTGCTGAAACTGATCTGAGTGTCCTTTTTACTTAATGTCCAAGAGCCAGAGATGATCTTCTTTGTGGATGGTCTCTAAGAGAACCTAAGGCATTCACTGCTCTACAGAAAAACTGCTGAGAGGTCCTGCAAGCAGCTGTGCAAGCAAGCAGTGGTGTCACAGCTTGAACTCGGAACAGGGAAAAAGCAACCAAGTAGATATTTTGGTTTCCACATTCCTCTACAGAAATTGTTCTCCTCACGATGAGATGCTGCCTTGATATCCTGAAGGAACTTTCTGTTTGACAGTTGACATTAAGTGACCTAGAAAGTGCAGGGTTTTTTTTTTTTTTTTTTTTTTTTTTTTTTTTTTCATTTATCAGTATAGGTAAGTATAGATCAGCATGAGCCCCTAGAGGCATGTGGTCATCTGCTCAAACCATGGCCTTTCTCTAATGAAGACAGAAAAGAGAAATTCAAACACCACCTAGACAGATACCTCTTCCTGTCACAGTTTCAGGCGGAAGGTGAATTTATTGCTAGTATTGTTGCTCTGGTAAGAGGGAAGGGAGCGTGACGGGGACGTGACACATGCATATACACGTGTACACACACAGAGTCACAGGACACATACACTAACTCACTGTCAGCAAGTGCTGCAGGGGAAAAGGTGCAGTAGGAACTAGAAGGGAAGAGGGGAAAACACCAGCATCAGCAGCTCATGAGGGAGGAAGAGCTGTTGATCTGTTGAAGGCAGTCTAGGCAAGGTGGCCCCACAGTACACGCGAATCATGCAGGGCTTTTGAACTTGTCTTTTAAAGGGTATGAAAACCTAACTGCACTTGCTCATAGGGGCTGAAAGAGGCAGACGGGAACTGCGATGTGTGTCTGSTATCTCTCTGCCAGGCCCTTGGCATCTTCTCTCCCCACAGCATCCCACCTGAGTGACTGAGAGGCACTGTGCCACTGCTGGCACTGCACAAAGGATGAAGGAACACAGCAGGGTGGGCTGACGGTGACTTGATGTGTGAGCCCTGTGGCACTCTGGGGCTGTCTGTGGACACGGGCAGAGAGCTCAGCATGGAGGTGGCAAGTGAGCAGAGGAGCGCAAATGAAGCCACAGGCTGCAGTAGCTGACTTAGTAGATCTGAAGCCAAGAGGGGAAAGTAAAGAATGTGCCAGACTTAAAACAACAACAAAAACCCTATGGTTGTTTTAGAAATTGCAAGTATATATTTTCTGTAAATGTAGGTTAAAATGGTCTCCTGCTGTGGGTGATACTTAAGCACTATTTTCACCTTTTCCTAACTATTAGATTATTGTGATGATTAGATTATTAGATTAGACTGTGAGATTAGATTATTGTTATGATTACACCCAACGAGATTTTTAGAGTGTCTGTTTTTAATGAAATATATGTGACATTGGAGCTCAAGTCTCTGTACTTAACTCATGAAATCTGACCATACTGTTACTGCCTGGTTGCTTAGAAGAATCACTCACCTTCATCTCCTGTGGAGCCCCATGGRAAAGGACATTCCTACACTGTGAGCTCCCAGGGATGTAAGCTGTGCACCCAGACAAAGCCTTTTGTATCACAGAAAACCTCCGTTTGATTAAATACCGAGACCTGCCTCACGCCCCTTGGACTGCTGAGAAACTCAGGAGAAACACAGCGGCATTTTCCTTGCTAGTGGTCAGCTCTGGCGACACGGGCTCCACAGCCTGCCAGCTTGGATGCCCTGCGCTCTCACACCACCCGGCTCGCCAGCTGCTCCCTCTTTGCTTACCTCTCTCAGGTGAAGAGCTGGCACTGCACGTGGGCTTGCTGTCTAACCCTTGCTGCCACTGTAGTGATTTCACTTCAGGCACCAAAACTGCATTCAGCTGGAATCAAAACAGACCGTGCAGGCTGCCTGGCTACTTGTTCATTCGAGTCACAGCAGCTCCCTACTTTACTACGGCCCGTCTCTGTCTGCCGTGCTGCAGTTCATCTTCCCTCCTYGCTCAC